TGTCGATGCGGCTACGCAGCTATGAGAATGAGGCGTGAACTATTTGGTGTTATACTTTGATGGCAATTGGCAATAAACGTTTATTCAGTGACACTAGGACAGTGAATTACCATTATTTTATTCTCTTTTTTAACATTAATTTGTTTATGCTTAAACACTTATTGTTTGTTCTATGCAAACAGCCAAACAATCCGTTAGTTTTTTATTTTTATTGGTTCCATTCTTAAAACAAAAACATGTTAATGGTGGTTAATATTCTCCCATAAAAATTACATTTTCTTAAAATATTCTCATAAAAAAGAAAATTGAAAAAAATATCATGATGCATGTAACTTACTACAAGCTTTTGCCTTTTCATCCAAATTGAATTCTTTCATTTATGTTTTCCTATATCCAATTTCAAAGCGAGGTATATAACGGTGTATTCCTATATTGGGCATTTGCCTCGTCGCGCAACACGCGTGAAAAACTAGTTAAGTATATACACATTAGATGCATGGCTCGTTGATTTTTCTAATAAAAATCAACTCGTACCAAAATCCGATTCAGTTTAGATAAAAACCGGAAAGTGGTCAAAAATCAGAAAAACTTGGTCCAAACCTGGACCCGGAAATCCCGATAAACTAGGAAAACCCCGATTTTGGTTGATTTTTCTAAAAAAAAAAGTTGTCTTTTATTGAATGTTAAAGTTGTGAGTTATTTTCCCACTTCTTCCCTTGAATATTAATTCTTCACTTATTCTTTCTCTATATTAATGTTGGAGAGTGTTGCTAAATGACTAGTTAACATATTCACATTAATTACTACTAGAAGATCAATGAACCAATGGTTAATCATTGATGATTTCGCAAGTAACTTCGGGTTATTAATGCCACATGGTCGTGGTTAATAATTTTAAGAGGAATTAATTGTGTTGGTTAAACCGAAATCGTTGTGTTGATGTTATCAATCTCAATTGATTTCATCAAGGAGTTAAGAGATTAAATGCTACTATCAAGTCGGCATATGGCGGTATTCTATACTTGGCTAATAGTAAGTGTTATTAATGCATGATCGACTTGATCGTTATTAATAACTACACTCGATGAATTGGAGATGCTCCTCGATTGAGTATTCGAGGGGGATAAGTTATAGATACAAATTCTACTTCACTATACTACACATTAGTGCTAGTATCTAATTTATTTTGAGTCACACAACCATTTTAGTGCTGTCATATGCCGTAAAAGACAGAAGGAATTCGTATGGGACATACTTTCTAAGACAAGGATGGTAGTTTCTACGATGGATCGGAGAATTGCTGCCTCTGTTCACAGTTATGGCTCCATGATGATTGTGATTTGTGAACACACTTGTTTCCTAATTTCTCCTGAAAACGGAAAAGAAAATCAACCACCTACAACGTGTGGAAAGAACACTGGAGCACAAATTGGATCAAATGCAGTCCATGCTGAAGCAAATTCAGAAGGGTAGAATGGGAAGAACAATGATGATGATTAATAGCTCATTAGAAGACTTCTAATTATTAATAATTTATTACTCTTTGAGAAGTGTATGTAGATATGTAGAAGTGTAGTAGTTACTTATTTCTAGATTGTACGAGTATAATAATTTGAGAAGTGTAGAAATGTAGAATTATCTTTGAATAAAAAAACGGGATATCAAGTCATATTTAGTTACGAAAAGATAAAATTGTACGTGTACCCTACAAAATCATTGTAAATCAAATGGAGATAAACGGTTAGTTACTTTATCATCAATCTCGACTTTTTAATTCTCTGTTCAACAAGGAAGTCTATAACTTTTAGGACGTGTGTAGCATCGGGGTCCACTCTTATAGAGGGCCTCCAAAAATATGTTGATTAGGTTGATTTTTTAATATTATGTATTATTCCAAATTTCAAAAAATCTATAACTTTGTTGCCAAAAAAAGTCTATAACTTTGAAGTTGTCTAATTTGTGTACTTAAACATTATAAAACTTATATTTCACTAAATTATCTAGTATATTTATATTCTAATGTTATATTTTGTAAACTTTCTTGTTTTAGGGGCTTCAATTCGTCATTTGGAATCGTGACCTCCAAATTCATTAGACGCCCTTGTTGTTCAAGCAGGAAAGAAATGTTTTTTTACAACACGCAACCAAACTAAGAATCTTGTAAACAAAATATAGAAACTGAAAATATAAAAAAAAAATAAGATTAGACGAGTTAACAATTTAACATGAATGCGAACAGTAGGGGTGGGAAAAACCGAACCGAAACCCGGAAACCGACCCTGGACTGACCCGAATTATGATCCTGGTCCGGGTTTTTTCTTTTTAACCGGCCCGAATTAAAAAAAATGCGGACCAAACCGAAAATTCCGGGCTCATTAACGGGCCATAAAATCTATAACCCGGCCCGGACCGAAAAAATCCGAAACAATTAGTTTTAATATAAAATTAATATAGTATATGAATATAAATAAAATATTTCCTAATATATGATTATAATCACGGTGGATAAAAAAAGATTTAGTAACTTTTAGTGACTACAAATATGTTCAATTTGTTTAGCGTAATGATAACCATGAGAATATATTTATAGCAACTCTAGTAACTATTTGATTTATAAAATTTATTTCGTAATATTTTTAAGAAACCTATATTATTTATATATATACATCTTACATAAAATATTAAGATAATTATCTTCTTTAAATTTGAATTGTTGGTGATTTTGGAGACTAATATTTGTGTTATTATTTGCAATTTGTATTTTTGATTAATTTTATTTGAAAATAAGTGTTAAAATATAAAAGAACAATGACATATTTCACGGCCGGGCTTTAACCAGTCCAACCCGAACCCGGACCGAACCCGGTCTACCAAAAACCCGACTCGGACCGAATATGACGGGCTTTGTTTCGGTCCCTAATTTTCATAACCCGAGACCTTCTGGGTAATTTCCGGGTTTAGCAAAAACCCGACCCAGACCGGACCGATCCCACCTAGGCATTCCCACCCCTAGCAACAGAGAAGTATTAGATGCTTGCATATCACATTAACTTGAAAAGAAAAAAGAACCAGCAATTAAGATTTTGTCTTGATTTTTGGAATTTTGTGTACATAAACAAATTAATCAATGTTTACGTAAATTTGCACCTCTAAATATCATGCTTCTCTTAGTCATAATAATGGGGATACACGAACGACCTTATCTACAAAATGTACTATGTCAGGATACTCCCAATGTTAATGGCATCTACACTAATATGGTATGTTTGGATGGGAGTTAACCTAAGTTATTAGAGGTTTAATTTTTAACTAACCTTGTTTGTTTACATTTTTACTACTAAAACCTAGGTTATTGATAAATTTGAGTTCACCTCACTTAACCTCTCAAAACCCGGAAGAACCCCAAATACGTAAACCTCCGATTTGGGGGGTTTGCTGAGTGATGTTCTCGCATAAAATAGTTTGGGGGGTTTGCTGAGTGATGTTCTCGCATAAACTATTTTTTCCTGTCCATTCTCATTATAACCCTTTCCAACCTTCCCATTATTTACACGTTCCCTCCAGTATCAACACGTTCTTTTCTCCTACCTTCATTCTGCCGCCAACTTCATCCCGCCATCAGCCTCTCTATCGATTGGAGCTTCATTGCAACATCAGGTATTCTCTTCCCCTATTCTCTTCTTCTCTTCTCCTCCTCTTTTCTTCTTCTGCTCTATTCTTCTTCCCTCCTCCTTTTACTCTTTCATTAATCACAGGGTATTTTTCTATCTCTTATCATGGGTGTGCTACTTGAATTAAATATATATGGACTTACAATAATATTGTTGATTTACTTGACTGGGATACATACTTGCTATAATATCTTGATTTACGTAGGGTTTACAAATGAACTTGCTGCAATCTTGTTGATTTACTTGATTGAGATTATATATTTATATATGTGTGCCTTATATACAAATGCATATGTGATGATACTAGGTGTTTGTTAAAATGTCTAGGTAAGACTTAATGATAATATATGTTAAATTTTAACCCAACATCTTAATTGAAAACATAGTTTTTAATGTATCAACATAGTTTTGATCTAAACTATCTTTACTTGTAATAGAAATCAAATTCTGGAAATAGGAATAGGCTTCACTAAAGTTGAGGAGTAGACATGATATCATGATACCTACGATTAAAAAACATGATGGCTTACTAACATTTTTATTCTAGCTACTTTACTAAGTTATTACCATTTTTATTCAGTAACCTTCTTCCTTTTTTCATGGCAGCCCTATTCTTTTCATTTGTTTAGAAATTTAAAGCATTTAATTTGCTATATACTCTCTTGCGATCCACATAAGCCTAAAATGACAATAGAAAAGTGTTTCAATTAGGCATTGGATAGAGATGGCCAAGACTTATTTTATGTTCTTACTACGCTGGTGTTTTATAAATCTTTTTCTGCAATTTTTTTACATGCTCGTGTTCTTCATCCCAAAGCTGCTTAACAAATGTCCTGCTACTAAGTTTTATACCAAAATGAAGGGGGAAGCTAGCATTAGTTGAGAAGGAGGAGGTTCAGTGTCAACATTTGAAACTTAAAACATCTTCCCTGCGTTAAGAGCTTCGATTAGTAAAAAAAATATAAACAATGTAGATAAAAGGGATAAATTTGAGATAGATGACTGACCATAATAACGTAAAGGTTTCAGATAAATGGCTAACCATGAGGAAGAGTTAGTTAATGCGGCAATTGGAATACTCGTTACTTGGTTTGTAACTATGATTGCCACATATTGGATGTTCATGGAGGATGGCATGTTTGATGACTCTGATAATAGTGATCTTGAAATTCATCAAGAATCTGAGAAAGTTAAAATTGTGGTTAGAGAAGTCATGAAAAATAGAGTGATATGTCGAGATATGATTCGTATGAGTCCAGAGGCTTTTTATGAGTTCTGTGAGCTCTTAGGAAAACATGGGGGTTTGCGATCAACTCGATGGGTTAATGTTGAAGAACAGGTTGCTATTTTTTTATACACCGTGGGACATGCTTCTACAAATAGGCAGATACAAAAACTTTTTGGTAGGTCTGGAGAAGTTATCAGTCGTCATTTTCACAATGTGTTACGAGCTGTCATAGAACTAGAAGATAAATTTATTAGACAACCAAATGGATTGTCCACACCAGCGGAGATCCGGAATGATCCAAAGTTCTACCCCTACTTCAAGGTGAAGACAATTAACTTTTTACATTTAAATAGTTTATATTTTAATTCAGAATATGTATTTATTTTAAATTATTTCAAGAATAAATAACTATTATTAGGATTGCGTGGGACCAATTGATGGAACTCATGTGCGAGTTAAAGTCCCTGCTGAAGATGCTCCTAGGTATCGTGGAAGAAAAGATTATACCACACAAAATGTTTTAGCAGCATGCACCTTTGACTTAAAATTTACATATGTCGTAGCTGGCTGGGAAGGAACAGCATCTGACTCACGAATTTTAAAAAGTTCGTTGAAGCGATCATGTCCATTAAAATTTCCACGAGGTACTTTATATAACCCAAAATTGTAATATTATGTAAACCATGAACGCATTAAGTAAACACTTAATTCATAGATTTTTTTTCATAGGTAAGTTCTATCTTGGTGATGCTGGTTTTGGCGTGATGGGTGGCTTGATTCCACTGTATAGAGGGAAGCGATACCATTTGAAAGAGTATTCACGTAACCCACCGAAGACTATGCGTGAGCTATTTAATTTGCGACACTCATCGCTCAGAAATGCTATTGAGAGAGCATTTGGGGTCTTAAAAAAGAGATTTCCAATTATGGCTAACGCAGATGAACCAAAATTTGATGTTAGGAGGCACACAAGGATCATATTAGCGTGCTGTATTTTACATAATTTTCTTATGGGCGTCGATCCTGATGAAGATATACTCAGAGAAGTGGATGAAGAACTTGCCAACAGAACTGATGTCGAACATGAAAACCAAGCAGATGATGTTAATGAAGAAGATGACGTTGCAAGAGGACAAGTTGTTAGGGATCGTATCGGAAATGGATGTGGCGGGATTACACCACTTAGGTGTTTGTGAATTGTATTAAATATGTTAGACTTATTTGATCTCTGGAATACATTAGTTATTAAAACTCCGAATTTGTTTTTTTTGTTTATTTGTTTGCTCATGGCTCTTGTATGAATTGCCTCCTTGTTCTACAACACAAGATTAAAATAGTTTATATTCTATTGAATTATTATCAATGTAACCTTGTTTTAGTTTGTTGTGTTGTTTACTGACTTTATTTGTTTATAAATAAAGACAGTGTAATGCCTCCAAAAAGAATCCGCACCGAAGGAGTTGATGCTACTTCAACTGATGAAAGAACCAATTAGACACGTGATATGGATGAATTCCTACTCGATTCTCATCTTAATCAAACTCGTTTAGGGAATCGCCCTAATGGTACTTTCAGTGCTCATGCTTATAATCAGATTTTGAAGGAATTGGAAGAAAAATTTCCAAACATCACTTGGAATAAAGATAAGTTCAAGAATAGAGTCAAGACTCTAAAGAAGACATGGCAAAAGGCATATGATTTATTTAAAAATGCATCTCAAAGTGGTTGGGGCTATAATGAGAATACTCACACATGGGAGGTTGAGCCACAAGTTTGGAATGAATTTGTTCAGGTAAATCTTTAGATAGTGACATAGGTTTTAGTATTTTATACATCATGCATTATAGTTCTTCACATTTGTATGACAGGCTCATCCAGAAGCACATATATGGAAAGATAAGCCTATCCCGTACTATAAGAAGATGGAAGAACTATATGGCAAGGATAGGGCTACTGGAGAAGGTGTTGACACTGCCTCTGAAATCAGAGCAAGAAGAGTTGCATCTACACAATAATATTCTGGCTCAGGTAGTATGATCAATGATATTGACGATATGACAGAGCAAGATGAAATTCAGATTGTAGGTTTTAGCTCCCCCAGTGCTAATGAAACCTCTCCAGCTACTGTTGATGTGGAATCAGGTACTACTCATGCTAACTCAAGTGGTGCTAAACGTGGCAAAAAAAAGGGGTAAGTCTAAAGTGGATATGGAGTTGTTTTTTGAAAAGTGTGAGGGAATGTTATCATCTGGTATTGAGAAGCTTGGACGCTCAATTAATGACACACCACTTACCCCGGCTGATGAAATTAATCAGTTATTGGACGATATGGACTTTGATTCTAGGTATAGGCTCCCAGCATTTTTGTATCTTTCAAGAAATCGGACGGAGTTCCGCATTCTTACTGGAGCACCAAGGGGTGATCGGAGCACCACGTTACTCTTGATGTTGATGGAAGCTAAGCTCATTGATGTTAATATTACATCGGGTTGAGACTCATGTGGTGGCACTGTTGGGTTAATGGCCCAAACCGAGGTCCGACCCATTAACCCTTTTCTATCGGACGCACGTCCGGTTAGGACACCAGGCTGGACGCAGGCCCATGACCCTTGGGAAAAGACGGACGTCTGGAATTGGGGGATTCAGGTTCAATGGCCCATCGCGACGAACGTCTGTGCAGGGACAAGGAGCAGGACCACGAGCCATCAGGGATGACGACGAACGTCCCCAGAGCGAACCCGTAATTCTACCAGTAGGAATCCAGTCCACATGGCGAGAATCCATTAAGGCCAGGGGACGAACTGCCGAAGCCTCTTAAGGGTCACATTTGGGAATCTAGCTCGCTTCCCGGACGGACGGACGTCCCCACTATTTAGGCGGGAAACCTAGATTCTGGCGGGAAGTGCATTTAATGCAGAAGATTTGGTGGTTGGGACACAAGCGGTCCACAGGCCTCCACGTCAGCATAGCCACCTGCCCATTGGTGGGTATAAATAGAAGCATTTATTTCATTGTAAAGGGTTGGCAACTTTCTATTCTTAGCATTCTAGCTTTAGCATTCTTACTCGCAGCACTTCTAACCGCCTAGTAAGACGAACGGCCGACGGAGCCTTAGCAAAGAGTATTGTATTAGGGAGTTATTAAGAGATAATAATACCTAATCACTTACTTGCTACTTTCCTGCCTTTCTAATCCATATCATCTGCTTGTTGGGCTAGTTTAATCATACACACTCCATTCGAAATCCTTGGGCTTACGTGTTGGACCCGGGGGTTGAAGGAATAAACCTCAACACTGGCGCCGTCTGTGGGAAGCACGATGACAAGAAACAACCGCCAACGCGACCTCTCCCAAACAGCTACTGAATCTACCTGCAGCAAGCACGATGACAAGAAACAACCGCCAACGCGACCTCTCCGAGCAGCTGTCCCGCGGATGAAGCAACCGCGGGCAAACCACGGAACGCTCCGAGACGTTGGGGACGACTGGGGGTGAGGGTGGCCTCACAAACCTCATCCCCCATGAGGCCAGGCATGACCCTCGACTCATGAGGGAGCTGGCGGAAACGATGCGCCGAATGGCGGACGAACAGGAGGCGAACGAAGAGGTGTACTCAGCTAACACCATCTGGACGCCCATATCACCCGTCCGCCGCATGCAGTCCCTGGATGAGACAGCAGAATCTGCCGGGCGCCGGACGCCCATCCACATGAGGTTGGGCCAGAATCCGTCTTCCCATGGAGCTGGGGGGCACACCAGCGCCAGCACCCCCCGCTATGGTTGGCAGGATGACCACCGGGGACGCACGCCGGATGTTCCCTCCGAGCAGCGGGGCACCGCCAATACCCCCGCCGCCAGTAACATTGGACGACGTTTCCAAAGACATGGCGCCCATATCACACGGAGGCAACCCGACGCGGTTGCCCCACGAAGGAACATTGCGCTCGAGGCCGCCCCTCCTGTGTCCCCCGGAAGGGCCGCACAGGAGGCCCGGCTAGAGGCAATGGAGCGGCGATTAGCCGAAATAGATAGACGGGCGGAGGCCACCCCAGCCATGCCGCGTTTCTCCCTCATTTCACCCTTCACTCCGAGGGTCATGAATGCAGAAATCCCGCGGGACTGCAGGCCCCCCCCCAGGGGATAGTATACAATGGGACCGGAGATCCTAAGGCCCACCTGATCAGTTTCCAGGGGAACCTCTCTATGCTGGGAGCATCCGACGAGGCCATCTGCCGGCTCTTCTTCAGCACCCTGAGGGGTCCGGCACAAGAATGGTTCGGGCAGCTGAGACCCGGATCCATTGATAATTACGAACAGCTGTCCCAGCAGTTCATGGCACAATTCGCTGCCAGAACCACCCCCAAGAAGAGCTTCACATCGCTCACGAGTGTGAAGCAAGGGAAGGACGAACCTCTGGCCCAATTCCTGGTCAGATGGAGAGACGAAGTGCTCCAGGTGGATGACCTGGACGAACGGCTGGGAGTAAACATGTTCACCAGTGCTCTAGCAACGGGGGACCTATATCGGGACCTTCGGAGGAATCCCAGCACCAGCTATACCGAGGTGCTGGCTCGGGCGCAGAAGTACGCCTCCATTGAGGAGGAGATCAGATTGAGGGACGGCGCGCCTGCAGCCCCTTCCCGAAAATTGGCGGATAGGCTCGGCCCCGGAGGTGGACCATCCCCCCCCCCAGCAAAAAGAAGAAGGCGGACGGCGGCATGGTTCCGTGGAAGGCTCATCCGGAGGCCAGCCGCGTACGTCCGGAGGAGTACCACGTCCCTCTGGCCTACCCCATCAGCCAGATTTTCGAAGCCATCAAAGACAAGGGCATCCTAAGGGAGCCCCAAGACAGAAAAGCGCTTATGGGTCTTGATGAGACCGCATACTGCGAATACCACCAGAGGGTCGGCCACCTCACCGACAACTGCAAGCAATTGAGAATGGCCATCGACGAACTGATCCGGCAAGGCTACTTGGGCGAGTTTACCCAACTGCTGAAGAAGAATAACCCGAGGCAGCCGAATCCCAGGTCGCGATCATGGCGCCGCGACAATCGGCGCGAGGCGGAACTGAAAGACGTAGACTATCGGAGTGCTGACAAACGTCCGGAGGGGTCCCTCGGCCCGAACGGTGGGAAGAAGAAGTTGGAGATCAAGGTGATCTTCGGGGGCGCTGAGACTGGGGACACGCCTGCGGAGCGGAAGAAGTTTGAGAGGTCCCTCTATGTGGGCTCCATATCAGCTCCCCCCGCTAAGAAGAACAAGGTGGAGGCCATCACCTTCAGACCGGCCGACCTACCGATGTCACCGGCCCCTCACAGGGATGAGTTGGTGATTAGCATGGATGTCAACAATGCGATCGTCCGACGCGTCCTTGTCGATACGGGAAGCAGCGTGAACGTCCTATACTGGGAGGCTTTCGAAGGGATGAAGCTGAGGAAAGATGAGCTGACCCCCTTGCGCACCCCTCTTTCGGGCTTCACAGGGGACTGCATCGATGCGGAAGGCACCATCGGCCTCCCCGTGGAGATCGGGGATGGACCCCACACTACTCGCATCCGGATGACGTTCGTCGTGGTCCGCCTGAAGTGTGCCCACAACGCAATTTTAGGCCGCCCCGGCTTGGAGGATCTTGAGGCCATTTGCTCCGTGCGGCACTCATGCATCAAGTTCCCCACCGAGACAGGAGTGGGAGTTGCCCGCACGGATCCGCACATGGCCAGGGCCTGCTACACCAAGGCCATGGAGAGGTTCAGAGAGCGAGAAGCCCGGGTCAACAGCATCACTGAGAAAGCCAGGCAGGCTGACTTCGACGCTCGTCTGGAACCGGCTACCCTGCTCGAGGAAGTAGAGCTGGATGACCCCTCGGACAGAAAGGTGTCCATCGGGGCTGACCTAGAACCTGAGATCAAGGAGGGGGTCATAGCCATCCTCCGGAAGTTCAAAATCCTATTCGCCAGAGGGCCGGAGGACATGCCTGGCATAGACCCCAACCTCATATGCCACAGACTCGCCGTACGGCCAGATGCCAAACCTATCCAACAGAAGAAGAGATACATGGCAGCCGAGCGGCGAGATTTCATCAAGAAGGAGGCGGCTACGCTCCTCAGCATCAAACACATCCGGCCGGTCATCCACGTGGAGTGGCTAGCTAACGTGGTGTTAGCCCCAAAAGGCGACACGTGGCGGATGTGCGTTGATTACTCGGATCTCAACAAGGCCTGCCCGATGGATCCGTATCCCGTGCCGAGGATCGACTTGCTCGTAGATGAAACGGGAGGCTGCGAGCTGCTCAGCTTCATGGACGCATTCAGAGGCTACCATCAGGTATTCATGCACCCTGATGATGCAGAAAAAACGGTGTTCGTCACAGCGGACGGCGTGTACTGTTACGTGGTCATGCCGTTCGGCCTGAGGAATGCCATGGCTACCTTCCAAAGGATGATCGGGATGTTGTTCAAAGACGTATTAGGGAAAACCATGGAGGCGTACGTAGATGACATCCTGATCAAGAGCAAGAAGAAGGAGGACCACGTCAGGGATATGGAGAGGATCTTCACCATCATGGAGGAGGCCAGCATGAGGCTTAACCCAAGGAAGTGTGCTTTTGCTGTCAAGGGCGACAAGTTCCTCGGCTACATGATGAGTGAGCGGGGGATCGAGCCTAACCCGGAGAAAGATTTCAAAGTATACCTCTCTTCTCCGCTCGTCCTCACCAAAGCAGACCCCGGGGAGCAGCTGTACATGTACCTAGCGGTGGCGGACTTGGCTGTGAGTGCCGTGCTACTCAAGGAGGCAGAGGGCGTTCAGCGGCCAATCTATTTTGTGAGCAAGGCGCTGAACGGTCCGGAGACCAGATACACACTGATGGAAAAGACGGTCCTCGCCTTGATAGCATCCATCAAACGCCTGGCACCGTACTTCCAAGCTCACCCAGTGACTGTATACACGACACAACCTCTCGCTACGATCCTCCGGAATCCCATGGCCAGCGGGAGGATAACCAAATGGTCCCTGATGATCGGCCAGTACAACGTGGAATTCAAGCCGAGGCCGACAATCAAGGGACAGGCGCTGGCGGACTTCATTGCCGAATGCACTGCGCGCACGGAGGACGACCCCCAAGGCGACAATGATTTCAACAACTGGTGGAAGATGTACACCGATGGGGCCTCGAGTGCGAAAGGTTGTGGCGGAGGAGCAGTGATCACTTCACCCGAGGGATTCAAGGCTTATTACTCCATGAAATTTGAGTTCAAAGTCACCAACAATGAGGCTGAATACGAGGCACTGATCGCAGGACTGAAATGTGCGAAGGCACTCGGCGCAGCTCGTCTGAAGGTGAGAATGGACAGTCAGCTGGTGGTAACTCAGATGAATGGGACGGCCGAAACCAGGGAAGAAAGGATGAAGGTTTACAGGGAACTCGCGGAGGAACAAACCGCGCAGTTCGAACAGGTGATAATCGAGCAGGTATCGAGGGTGGAGAACGCCGAGGCTGATATACTATCCAAGCTAGGCAATCCCCCAAGCGATGACCCCATGACGAGCATCCCCCGACACATTAGGGGCTTCGTCAGGGAAGAGACACTCCCAACACCGGCGACGGACGTCATCCGGGTAGAAACCATCTCCATCGCCGAACCTAATTGGTCGAAGGAGATCGCAGACTACCTCAGGGATGGGACGCTCCCCGAGCCTGAGGATGATGGCAGCTCCGGACGAGCAGCATGGATAAAGAGGAGGGCCCCCAACTTCGAGCTCATTGATGGGTAGCTCTACAAGAAGACGTTCGGCGGGCCATACTTGAGATGCCTCCCACCGAGCCTGGCAGCGGCCGTCATTGAAGAGATACATGAAGGCATCTGTTCCAGTCACCAGGGCCCTCGTACTTTGGCGCGGAAAATCATCTTGCAGGGGTATTACTGGCCGACCATCCAGCAGGATTGCTTCAATCATACTCGGAAATGCGCAGTATGCCAGCAATATGCTCCTGTACCCGGACGGCCGGCAAGCTTCTACACCCCGATGACGGTTGCATTACCCTTCGCCAGATGGGGCATAGATCTACTGGGCCCTCTTCCGACGACGACCGGCGGAAGGAAGTTTGTCATTGTAGCGATTGACTACTTCACAAAGTGGGTAGAAGCCGAGCCGCTGGCCTCCATCACCGAATATCAATGTCAGAGGTTCCTCTGGCAGAATGTTATATGCCGCTTCGGGATTCCAGAACAGGTCATCACCGACAATGGCCGGCAGTTCGTCGGCAGAGGATTTGAGGCATACCTAGCGAAGTGGGGCATCAGGCACTCTAAGGCCTCGGTGGCCTACCCGCAGGCCAACGGCCAGGTGGAGAACATGAACCGGACCATCATGGATGGGATTAAAAAGAAATTGGAAGATTACGCGTCCACCTGGCCGGAGCAGCTCAATTACGTACTCTGGACGTACAGAACAACCCCAAGGACGGCAACCGGCGAGACACCTTTTGCTTTGGCATACGGATTCCAGGCCAAGGTGCCAACAGAGGTGCTAGTGCCCACACATCGCACAAAGCACTTCCAGCCGGAGGACAACGAGGCAAACCTACGAGCGGAGCTCCATTTCATTGAGGAACGAAGAGACCTAGCAGCTCGTCGCATGGAGGAATATCACCGAGCCACCCAAAGATACTTCAACAAGGCGGTGAAGATCCGCGAAATTGAAGCTGGGGACCTCGTACGCAGGAAGAGGGAGAAGAGCAGGCCGCTCGAAGGTGGCAAGATGGCCAAAAACTGGGAAGGGCCGTACAAGGTCATGAGAAGATACAACCAGGGACCAATGAATGAAGATGTGGTGCAAAGGTTGGATTATTCATGAATAACGAAAAGGTCGGACTATTAAAAAAAGATCGCTAAAAGATTGGATTATTAATTTCTATTTTCCCGATAATTAATTGAAACAAATAAATTGGAGTGCCCAACTTACGGCGAAGCAATTGAAGCGGAAAGAAAACACATCAGCAATGCCGCACTAACGGAAGATGGATGAAAAATAGAGTTAAGTTCAAGTTCCATACGGAGTAGCATAATGTACCACTTGATATTGCTTTGAGTTACACCACCACAATTGACATACCCAAAGAGCCCTTACCATCGATTCCTACGTCACCTACCATATTTCTCTTCATGGATTCCATTGCTGTTTCTGAAACTTGGAATTCTAGGGCTAAATTCAGATGGTGTCTTCCGACGGTGGAGGTCGCTGTTCGATCGCAGAGGATGAGAGACCGAAAAGGCAGAAGACTGAAAAGTCATATCGGAAAAGACAGAAGAAACACAGGTAGGGTTTTCTTTTGAGTTAGAAGGAATACTCGTTGGGTTTCACGATACCTGTCCTTTTTATCATATTTTCCTTTCATCTGCAACTTGATTCGTTTCAATGGAGGATATGTTGTGCTTTTCTGTCTTTCTGTGGATCTAATTTGTGTTTGTTAATACCTATCCTCGGTTAATTTTGTCAATACGTAATTTAGGTAATCCTGGTTGCTTGTCTCCGATTAGTTTTTAGTTGGTAAAATCTGAACCTAGCTTCAATTGCTCATCATCTTTTATTACTCTGTAATACCTTGCGTTTTGTATTGTGTTCATTGCATTTTATTTAATGTTGTTTCCTCGGTTCTAGTTTTGACAAATACACCTCGAGATTGTGGGGGAGGGCACCTTCCAAGGTTATGGTATACACAGGTACTGTAGCGTGTGATGAAGCGCGCAGCCTTCTGACCGCACAGGTTGCCTTATCAGGTTTCAATGAGAGAAGTAAATTGAATGAGCAGGTTTGTTGATATTGATCTATTATTGGTTTCACCTATCTGCAATCAACTTGCCTTGTTGATTTTTTTCTGTGTCATCTTAGCATGCTTATAGTTGTTGTATCAACAGGGTCCTTATGAGGAATATGAGCTTGTTCGAGTACTTGGCTGTGTTATCACGTCATCATATCGTTCTTGCTGTCCATGTCTGCATTGCAATTTCATTGCAAGGCCGAAAAATCAAAGCAATGAATCCCTGGCAGCAGAGGATAATTGTAAGCTTTTTTTCGGGGAAGTGAAGGGTCACCGCAGTGATTCACACTGCAGTTTTTGCTGCATCTTAGGGCCACCTGGTACTGGTAAGTGACTGTTCTGTCTTGCTTTTGTTTGAAAATTATGTTTGGCGCCGCAGGTATTGTTGGTCACCTTTGGTGACATAAATGGCTACTCCTATAAACAATTGCAAAGATGTATAATGGTTCTCCTGCTAGTGTTTCTTTGGTTATGTGTTTTATATTGTCTTTTAGTATGCTCATTTTTTCTAGTTCATTTTACATATAAAAAACAAGAAGCCGGATGGCATTACTTGAGTAGCTATTTTTTTGAATCATTCTGCATTCTAAGAAGTCACTTTTTCTCTGATAGTCTGATTTGTGGTTGTTCATCAAAGTTATTATTGGTTGGGATGCTCCTTGAGGTTGCTTTGCCTAATACTCAAAGCTGGTAGTTGGTAATTTTTAACAATGAACTGTCTGGACATACATCTCAACATCCATCTTGATCATTTCATTTTAGGAGGTTTTTAGATTTAATAATAGTATTTCTCATCCCGATACCCAAAATCTTATTACATTGCAGTGACAGGGCTCTGTGGCTGTGATTTACATTGTCGTTACCTTCCTGAACTCATTCAACATCCTGAAGGCGGTGGATACAAAATGAAATGCAATCCCGACTTGCCTCCTTAGATGGCAGGGTCGTTATAAATTATTATGTTGGTGATGCGTGTTTGTAGGCATCGTTTCTTATGTGTTTGCTTGCACTATATGGAGTATGTTAATAATTCACGTGAATGGTTGTCAGTCAAGGATTGGTTTTTCAATTTTCACCATCCCCTCATCTAATACGTAGTATGCTAAAAAAATTATGCTCCCACTCGAAGTATTTCTTATAAATACTCGAAGTATGTGTTCAAAAGTCATTATGACCATAGATATGTTCATTTCCCATTGACGTAATTAAGTAAACTACAAGTATAAACTATAAGGTTTGCAGTGGGCAGCTGTGAGGGTATTTTGGTCCAATCACATATAAAAGTCCTATTTAAGGTAAAAAAAACTCATGTTTTGCTTCTATTATGGTAAATCCCCCAATCATAATTTACTTACACACAATACAATTCTTTTCATTTTGATTTTGTAGAACATGAAATGAAGAGAATATTAAAATTATATACGAAGTACTACTATTATGCAACGGGTACGGGGATATGATAAAACAAAAAAAAGCAGAATATGGATACGGGGTCATATTTATAAATATTAAAAGTTATCGTGATGTATTTATAAATATTAAAAGTTATAGGGGTGGATTTGTAAATATTAAAATATACAATTTTTATTTAAAAAATATACATATATTATCCTTCGTCTACCCATTCATGGCATTGAAACATTTTATATTTTCAATATATTTAGAAATAAATTCATATTTCATTTCATATATAATAGTCTAACTCGAAATATAAATATACCCCCTCCGTCCCATTGAACTTTGTCAACTTTCTTTTTTTGGTTATCTAAAAAAACTTGCCGCTTTCCTATTAAAGCAACTAATTTGTGGTTTTGCATGTTTCTCTCTCCTGTGCACAAAGATCAATCACATAGTTTTTACTATTCTTATTTCTCATATATTTTGCACTTGACAAAGTCCACCGGGATGGAGGTAGTAGTTAATAATTCATTAATTTAAAATGAGATAAGTCAAAGAACTATATTTTTGAAATTAAAAGTGCATGCACTCAATGTTCTAAAATAATGAAGATACCATGCAACCGTCCCACGGTGCGCATGGTATACCTGGGAGAGCAAAGAAGCAGTTCGTATATTTTGGCTTTGTTATTTTTTATTTCTCCTTTTTTTTAAAATGTTAATAATTTTTTTATTTTTGATCCGATTTTTATAAAATTTATATCAAATTTTTTTATTTTTCATGATCTTTCAAATGAGACCAATATTGCCTATGTAATTTTAACATATTAACATTTGCGTGTAAAAATATGTAACTTTATGTGTTAAAATATGTAACCCACGTTCAGTCAGACCAAATGCAACTCGGGTGTATAAATATGTAACTCTACGTGTAAAAATATGTAACTTTACGTAAAAAAATATGTAACTCGCGTTGAGACAGGTCAAATGCAACTCGTGTGTATAAATATGTAACTCGCGTATATAAATATGTAACTTTACGTGTAAATACACGTAACTCGCGTTCAGGCAGGTCAAATGCAACTCGTGTGTATATATATGTAACTCGCATATAGAAATATGTAACTTTACGTATAAAAATATGCAACTTCACGTATAAAAATATGTAACTCACATGTATAAATACACAATACAATAAATTTTTTATATACACAATTTTAAGATAAATTGTGGATTACACAATTATTTTTCTGTATTAAATTTAGTTCGATTTTCCTTATAATCCAATACTCATTAATATAATAGTTCGATAATTTCTTAAAATTACATAAGCAATATTGGTCTCATTTGAAAGATCATGAAAAATAAAAAATGTTGATATAAATTTTATAAAAATCGGATCAAAAATAAAAAAGTTATTACCATTTTTTAACAACAAAAGCAATAAAAAATAAAGAAACCAGGCACAATACTCCGTCGTTTTGCAACCGGGCACACCATCAGGATGGTGCGCCGGTTGCACGATATAATTTGCGGAAAACAATATGTTAAAAGTTTTAATACATATTTCCGTTGGAGCTATTAGTTTCCTGGGATAATTAGAGTTAAGGATATGAGGATGGGTGAATTAGGAATATGTCCATCACTTGAGTGAAGTATTGGATCAGTGTACCACATAAAAGCAAGGTAAAAATTACTTTTAGTTTTTCAATTTTTAAGAATTTTACTGTAAATTTTGAATTTTTTTGGAAAATTGTTCTTTTAAAAAAGTTAATGTGTGTATTCATCAGGATACGAGTATCCGAAATTTTAAAATAACTACCAAAAAAATGAAAATTTTTAATAATTGCACATACGACCCGGGAACGTACAGTACATATATATCCTAAGAGTATGGATTCGAAAACGTTTCACTAAACATTTCCGACACGTTTAGTGAAGTATGGGTACTTCATAGGTTTTATCTTTTCGTCTTTTCGATCTCATCAGGATAGTACGTAATTAAATTGCTGCTACCTTCAATTCGTAATTATTACGAATAAATGCTTTTTGTCCAGAACATTAGCATTTCGATGCGCACATGCTATTTTGTCACATTTGTTCGATACTATTAAATGCGATTCTAGTATTCTACCATTGCTTGGGAATTTTTCTGCAAAAAGAAAACTTACTCATTAATGATACAAGTAACAAGAAATAAAACAACAAAAAAATTCAAGACTACATTGTATATACCATAAGTCACACTTATATATATATATATATATATATATATATATATATATATATATATATATATATATATATATATATATATATATATATATATATATATATATACTAGTTTGGTAACGCGCATTGCGCGACAAGAAAATTCCCAATATAAATAATGTAGCGTTAATATTAGAATTTGTTCATAGTTGAGATTTTAATCTACCTAAAATTGAATTGCAAAAAATATCCCAATAGTTAAACCCAGCATGGTGATATTAGTCTGGTTGGAATTCCAATTTTTTAATCTTTTGAATGGTTAGGTTTATATTCCGCTGTTCCCTAAATTCAAATGTCATAAGTTGTTCTAAATGTAAAAAAGTGCATCCTGAAATTACTCTACGTGATACACGCAAAAGGAATTCCGTTTGATTCATACACAAAAAGTCATGTGTGTATCAAGCAATAGCAAATATATGTTCTAAAATCAGACTAATTAATAGGGAAATATTTATTTCTTATATAAAAAAGTGACAAGCATATTGTAGTTTTATAATAGACGGAACTAGGAATTAAGGCTATAGCTAATAAATTCGTCGCTAGATTTGGGATGTTTTCTTTTGGACTGTTTTCAGTTCCAGACCAGGCCAGACCAGATCAGACCAGACCAGACTTAAACAGACCAGACCAGACCAGACCAGACTTAAACAAACCAGACCAGACCAGACTAGACTTAAACAGATCAGACCAGACCAGACTTAAGCAGACCAGACCAGACCAGACTTGGATAGTTATAAAATACACAGAGACCAAACGTTTACCAGACCAGACCAGTTCAGACCAGACCAGACCTGACCAGACTTAAACATACCAGACCAGATCAGACCAGACCAGACCAGCAAATTTCAGTCCAAAAAAAACATCCTTAGTTTCAAATTGACAAGAATGATAGCCTTTTTCCATTAAGGAAACATAGTACGTGTAGGTGACTACTGACTACGACAATAAAATGCAGCGAATTAGCCGTCTTGATCCAAAGGAATTATGTTTGATTCATAAAAATCATATACTCCTTTTGTAAAAAAAGGTCCTACTTTCTCAAAATGGATGTTCTTAAATGAATGTCCTACTTTTTTAACTTCTTTATTTGGCAAACAAATCTATATCAAACATTGTCAAACAATACAAAATAGCGTCGCTATATAGTGTCAAACATTGTCGCTACAGTGTCAAACAGTATCATTACAATATCAAACAGTGTCGCTACAATGTAAAGTCAAATTCATTTTCTTAATATGTGTGAAGTCAAAGTAGGACAATCTTTTAGGGACAAAGGGAGTATAAATTAAGCCCTTCAAAAGTAAGCAATACAACATTTTTTTTAAACAGCCTATTACCATTCAAATTGTGATTGTCTTTTCTTGCTATGCATTACACTATTCTGCAACGTAAAATATGGATCTAGCTTTTAGCAACGTAAAATACTAATCTTTTGCACACTATTTTGCATATAAACAAATGGTAATTAAAAAATGAATCTTTTTCCATTTATAGAAACACAAAAGATTGTAAAATGTATATGTAGTGAAATTTGATACAAACTCATCAACACATAAGCAATGGCATAATATCAAGTAATATGCTAAGCTAGTCATTGTAGTCTATAAACATATCCATGTCGTCTAGAAGTCCAGGAGGGGGATTGGGGGAAATTGTAGTTAGTCTCGTGTTCTTATAGAACATTAAAGATATAGGTAGACTAGTAAACAAAATATATGATTGTACCTGCTACAAATTACTTTTTCTTAACAAGTTATTTATAGTTGTTTTTAATACCTGAAAACTTTGTTTTACCCGGCTTAACGTATACGGAGTACTTTTTTTTTTTATCGTCAAAGTGGCTTTAAATTAATAAAATAGCATTCAGCAGGGGTACATGATAACAAAAGGACCACATGTAATTATCCGCCCTTGACCGAGACTCTGAGTTAATCACTTTTGATAAAGCAATATAACTCGCTAGACCTAAATTGGGCAACAAACAGCCATTGACGATTACCGTAGACCTCTCATCCCCCAAACCTAATGCAAGAGTCTTACAACATAAAATAAAATAACAGCAAAACACAAGCGTCTTAACTTGAAAATTAAAATGCAGAAAATATAAGTAATCAAACTCCAAAATGCGTCGATTAACCCTTGGCGGTGGTTCTGGGGGAGGCCGGACCATCGCAGCGATTGTTGCTGCACCAAAGCGGGTTTCCTCCGACTCGACCGCCTCTACTTCATCATTGTTATTGCACCAACGCGATTTCCCCAGGCGCCAAACAGATGCCATCGGTACTTGGAACCCCGGAAGGTTGATCTTTCGGTCCGTAACCACAGCGTCAACTTCTCCTAACATGGAGATCCCCTCCCTTCGTTCGTCCCATGCGTCTTCCTGTTTTGCCAAACCCAAGCCGTGACCGAGCCCTTCTGCCGAAGCCCAAATCACTGCCGTCGTTCGCCTTCGCCACAACCTAAGCACCGTTTTTAGTTAATAAACGAAAAACGGGAAACGAAACCCATCCAGCGGCGATAAGCCCCAGGAAGAAGAGACCCAGCGGCGGTAAGCCCTAGGAACCGGAGTAATTGATATA